CACTAGGGCCAGCAGGAGGTGTGGTGGTTAAGGTACTGAACTCCCACATGGCCAACCGTGGTTAAAATCCTGGGCTTAGAGACTTGCTTTCCCTCTCTCTCTCTCTGGTGAATTCAAACATAAAACTAAGAATAAGTTAAAATGAATAGTTCCTAAAAAAAAAACAAAATCACACTTACTGTCAATGAGGTGAAGGTCATGCACATTCCACCGAAGCCGTTCAGAGCCAGGGAGATGAAGATGAGCACAGAGAGAGCTGCGGGGAGACGAGACAGCACCTAAGTGCGGAACCACAGCGGAGCTGCAGGCAGGCCCCGTGCCCCGCGGGGGGCAAGCTCCCAGTACACATAGGCTGAATGACCAGCCATGTGGGGGGACACCAGGAGAGCTGGGACAGCCTCGTCCTCACCCCCCCTTTGTCTGTTCCACAGAGCTTGGGCTCCTGCAAAAGGTGCACACCCAGCCTTTCTCCGTTAACCTTAGCAGCAAGCAAGAGGCCTCCAGGCGCTGCGTCACTTAAACCCAAATACAGCTTCCCAACATCAGTAGAGCCTGGCTAAGATTCTGGTGAAGCTCAAGTCCTATTTTGATGTTTGTTCTAAAAGTCCTCAAAGCAACACCTCTACCCAAACAGGGTTGGGGACCAGGCGGCTTCTAAGCCCCTCTTAAAGGAAGGCCTAGACTGCTCGAGGGGACTCGGCTCATGACTTCTGCACACACCCAGGACAGCTCTGCAGCCAGCCTGGTTCTTAGAACCCATCTCACAGATCGGTCTCAATGAGGCCTTCAGGGACCGGCTTGGCTTTGCCATGAAGTGGGCGCTTCACACACCCTGGGAGCTTCTCTCTCGGACTTCCGGCTCCCATGGCTGCTCTTAGCTGGGCACTCGGTAGAGACAGTAACTGAGTAAAGGCCTAGTAGTGCCCGCCCTCACTTACGCAGTGAGCACCAGGCTCCGTACAGTGCCCACAAACAGGTGGGCCTGGGGGCACCTCTGAGTGCTCTCTCCCAGGCCTCACGAAAGCGGGGAGGGAACATACTCACAGTTTGGGTTACTAGCTCCATAGGCAATCAGCAAGCAGGAGATGGCAAAGCAGGCACTGAAACCAAGCAGAACGCACGCGTCATTAATTGCGAGGGCACTCGTGACCGCCCCTGTTCATGCTGTCTTTTGAGGGTATTTACTGTGGGTCAGGTGCTTTCAGGACATTTATATGCATTATTTTATTCCATTTAGTAATTGGAGGTCAGATGGCGGCAGCAGTTAAACACGATGCTCTGCAGGCTGACCCACTGGTAGGGCTCCGGATTCACATCACCAGGCCTCCTTGAGCAGACAGGGGTGCACGTGCCCACGATTCAGGGCTGGCCGAGGCTGGAGTGGATCTCGGCATTGAGACCCTGTGGGTTGTGCTCTCTCTCTGTTTCTCTTACTCGTGGAAAAACAAATTAATTAATTAAATTTTTTAAAAGGTGAATAATTGGCCCAATTCACTGATAAGGAAAATAAACTTCATTTTAAAAACATCAGCAGGGAGACCGGCAGATGGCATGGTGGTTAAAGGTGCTGGATTCCCACATGGCTGACCATGGTTTGAGTCCCAGACCTGGCGGCTTGCTTTCTCGCTTTCTCTCTCTCTCCCTCTGTCTCTCTCTGGATAAATTGAAATAAACAAATAAATAAAGTTAAATAAAATAATTCTTTAAAAAAACCAAACTACCAACAGGTGGTATGGTTGGGGTGCTGGACTCCCACATAGCTGACAGGCGTTCAAGTCCCAGACCTGGCGGCTTGCTTTCTCACTTTCTCTCTCTCTCCCTCTGTCTCTCTCTGGATAAATTGAAATAAACAAATAAATAAAGTTAAATAAAATAATTCTTTAAAAAAAAAAAACAACTACCAACAGGTGGTATGGTTGGGGTGCTGGACTCCCACATAGCTGACAGGCGTTCAAGTCCCGGACCTGGTGGGTTGCTTTCTCATGTTCCCTTTCTCTTTCTCTCTCTCTGTCTCTCTCTGGTGAGAGCTTGTGCCCTACAGCAAACTTAAGAATCATTTAATTAATTAATTAATTTTTAAAAACCTGAACATTCCAAGGTCTGCTACTGATTAAGCAGCTAAGCTGGAATTGAAGCCCCACAACGAGATCTCATAAACACCCCACAGTACTACCTCCTCGCACCCCCAGGAGGGAGAGGACCAAGGCTCTGAAGCCAGAGAGGGGATAACTTATTCCTTAGGTTCCTGGGCCCACTCAGCCAGGGAATGACAGGCCCCACTGGGCATGAGGCTAGGAGCGGCCGCTCCCAAATCCCCTCCCCTTGGCACTGCCCTAGGAACCAAGGCCGCTTTTGCCTCTAAGGTGATGTAAGGTGATGGAACTGACCCCCCGCCCATCCCCTTTCTGCTCACAGGTCTGGTCCCTGCAAGGCCATCATTCCCGGTGGGCGCTGGCTTGGGGAGGACGTGGCTGCGGGGGCCAGCTGCCGGGTGAACAGACCCTGAGTCTGGCAAGCTCGAGTTTTGTAGGCCAGGGGCACGTACCCCAGGGGTACACATGACAATCCTTGACGGTGCTGATCTATTACTGAGGCTCCACTTTATGATTTTTAACATCATTTATTTCTTCATGATAGAGCACATGTGTACACACATGTAAGAGAGACAGAGAGAGGCCCCCTCCGCAGGTCTGGTCACCCTGCAATCTGCTTCCTCCAGTCCACTGCATCTTTAGCACTCATGCACCCACATTTCAGGCTGACCAGCCAGGGATTCGAGCCATAGTCACCAGTAGGATCTGGCTTCTCTTCCTCTAAAACAATTTTGCTAGAGAGCATATGAGCTCACTAGAACGAGAGAGAGAAAGAAAGTGAGAGAGAAAGACAGAGAGGGAAAGTAAGAAAGCACCCTGTGATGGGGGATGGTCACACTGCAATCCCTTCTCTTCTGTTTCTCCTTTTGGGATTTTGGGCACACACACACTCAAGCACCCAGCGTTTTTCATGCCACCAGAGCAGGGACTGAAGCTCTGCAGTGCCATAGGGGGATCCAGCTTCTTTTAAGCAGCACATTACTGCTGCATTACAGAGCCAGCCCCATCTCATGACTTTAATCTCATCACTCACTCATTTATTTATTTATTTAGAGGTTTTTGCTATAGGGCGCGTGTGTTCACCAGAAAGAGACAGAGAGACAGAAAGCGAGAAATCACCCCCCAGGGGGGATGGCCACGCTGCAATCCCTTCTCCTCCATTCTCTTCTTGGGATCTTGGGTACGCACACACACGTGCCCGGTATGAGTTTAAGCTACTGAGTCCAGGACTCAAACCGTGGTCGACTACATGAGAGTCCAGCAACATAGCCATTATGCCAAGTGCTGGTCCCAAATCTCATCCATTTTAATTTGTAGTCTTGTGTTATTTATCCTAATGCACATAAAACATTAATGACATACATGTACATCATTTATAGTTCGAGGTGCTCATATTGAAAGTACACATTTAAATGAAAATCTTTTCTTCTGGTGGAGGTGTCAGATTAAACTTTGGGGTCCAGTCAGAGGTGTGGCAATAGTGTGGTACTCTGTAAGGCTTGACCCACGTGGGACAGTCCATGGTTTGTGCTCCCATGGAGGCCTGGCCACACCGCCATTTCACCGCCTGGCCCCTTGTGTGCTTTCTCATGCAGTACTGGCACGCTGCTACCTACTGTCCAGGTAGCAAAAGAGAAAGAATCCCACTCTTGGGACTAGCAGGTGGCATGGTGGTTAAGGCTCTGGACGCTCCCACATGGCCTACCATGGATCGAGTCCCAGATTTGGTGGCTTGCTTTCTCACTTTCCCTCTCCTTCTCTCTGTCTGTCTGTCTCTCTCTGTTCACATTAAAATAAATGGATGAATAAATAAAATAGATAACTCTTAAAAGAAAAAAAGAAAAGAAAAACCCCCACTCTGGGCGGGCCTTTAGGGAGCTCCTTGGAGCACCTGACAGCAGGTCAGAACTCAGCCCAGCGGGCTCACCCGTCCGACCCCACCCCCAGGGGCCCCACACTGACCTGCCCAGCAGCCTGAGCTTCCTCGGGCCATACTTGTCCATGACGATGCCCAGGGGCAGGGTGATGGCACTGAGCAGGAAGGAGCCCACGGTGAAGGCCAAATTTAGCATCTCGTCCTGGGCCTGGCAGCTGAGCCAGCCGTTCATCCAGCTCACCTGCTCATGCTCCGGCTCTGCAGTGCTCCCCAGGGTGCCGTTGGTGACATTCTCTGTGTGTGCAGAGGGAAGGAGAGCTGACCACAGGGTCACGGCAGAGGTGCCCACAGATCAGAGCACACCGCTGGGAATGCCAGAGCTGGCCCTGAGCACCCATAGCAAGCTGGAGCTCAAACGTCCACCTGGCTCAAGCAGCCTGGAGCAACAACGCTCCAAGAGGCTCTTAGCTTGGCTGGGTCGTGGATCCTTTGGAGACTCTCATAAAGACAGCTGTGTTACTGCTCCCCAGAAAACACACACAGTCTCGTCTGCAATCGCAGGGGCTCCATGCGACCCATGTAGCACCAGTGAGCCCAGGATGGGATCACCATTCTAGAGGGGCCTACACCCTAGAACAGTAGACCTCAGGACCCAGCCTTGGCTGTGGGGCCCCTGGCTGGCTAGAACCTTCTCAGCGGCTTTGTCCATGGAAACAGGCTGCAGCCGGTACAGAGGCAGACCCCAGCCGTGTGAAGGACAAGCTGCAGGATCCACTACCACCCCCGGTTCTCCTCGGTCAGCTCCTTGCCTCCTTTATGATCCATGCAATTGGCTTTTCAAACACAGACAGGGCCATGTGCTACCCTCTTTCCTGGTATTTTCACCAACCACCACGTACACTGTGTCCTAGAAACCCTTTGGAGGGGCCAGCAGGTGGTGTGGTGGTTGGGGCACTAGACTTCCACATGGCCAACCACGGTCTGAATCCTGGACCTGGTGGCTTGCTTTCTTACTGTCCCTCTTTCTCACTCTTTGTTCGTATTTTCAAAAAATAATTAATTAAATAAATAATAAAAAAAAAAAAACCCTTTGGAAACATTTAAAATATATATGCATGAATACACACACACACACACACACACACACACACACACAGTCCAAAGTCATTTGGTTTCACCCGTTGAGGTGCACCTCTGTGTTTTGCTAGCTGGGGTCGCTGTGTTGCTGTCCCCCTGTGACCACACCCAGACGCCACAGGTACTGAGCCTCCAGCCTGGTACGTTGCATGGCCATGCCTGCGGTGTAATCCCAGCCTTAAAGGGCCCCCTCCAAAGTCCACCTGGCACGAAGAGAGGGAGGGGAAAGTGCTGCAGCGGCCGAGGGCATGGGGTGGAGGACAGGCTGCGAGCATGGCTGAGGAACTCTCTTGGCCAGAACTGCTAGTTACGAGATGCTGACTAACCCCACAGACACAGGAGCAGACTTTGATTAGACGTGAGGTTACAGGGGAGAGGCAGGGAAATACTTTTCCCCAGATAACTGCTTTCCTCCCAACCACAGCCCTCTGGCGCCAGGACTGTAAAGCTGAGGTCTGCAGAGGCTTGCCCAGGCTCTCGGCGCTGTCCCAAGGTCGCTGAAAAGGAAGCACCGGGGCTGAATCAGGCCATATGCCATCCTCTGAGCAGCCAGCCCTGCTGCGGGTGTGCTGGCTGAGAGCATGGTGCCAGGGTTTGGCCTCTGAGTTCTAATTTTGCTTCTTCCACTTCCTACTTGTATAATCTTGGAGAAGTGACTTAGTCTCGCTGTCTCAGTTTTCTTATCCGTAAAGTGGACATAACAGGGAGACAGTCTCTACCTTCTAGAATTTGGGGGAAGATCAACGAAAAACCCCAGACAACGGCCTAGTGCTCACACAGGTATCGAGAATGCTCACGGCTCACAGCTGTGGTTGCAATTATTTTTAAAAATTTTGCTAGAGAGCCTGTGTACTCATCTAAGAGAAAGAAAGGGGGATGGGATGAGAAATCACTCCCCGGGGGGATGGCCACGCCAAAATCCCTTCTCCATTCTCCTCTCGGGGTTTTGGGCGTGCATACACACATGCCTGGCATGTCCCTCAAGCTGCTGGGTCCGGGACTCAAACTATGCAGTCAACCATGTGGGATTCAGCACCTTAACCACCGCGTCACCAGCCGGCCCTGTCGTTGCTGTTGTTACTAGTGGTAATATAAGAGGTTGTAGGATGCAACTAGTTGGCAGCAAAGCCAGATGCAGGGACTGGGAGCCAAGGTCTAGGACTGTGGTGGGAGGAGAGGGTCTTCAAAAAACGTCATGGAAAATATGTATTATGAAAAACCTACACAAGAGTTCAACTTTTTTTTAAGAGAGTTTTTTGTTTTTTGTTTTCTTTTTTTTTTGTCTATAGGGTGCGTGTGCTCACTGGGGAGACAGAGACAGAGAGACAGAAAGCAAATCACCTGCCGGACGGATGGATGGCCATGCCACAATCCCTTCTCCATTCTCCTTTTGGTATCTTGGGCATGCATGCACACGCGCCCGGCGTGTTTTAAGCTGCCGGATCTGGGACTCGAACTGCAGTCAACTATGTGGGAGTCCAGAGATGTAACCATTGCATCATCCGCTGGTCCCAGGATTTCAATTTTTTTTATACCAAAATTAACTCGTACTTTAATTCCATTTGTCCATGAACTTTCTGAAGTCCCCACACACGCGTTTAGTCTCCCACTGGGCTGTAAGCCCTGAGGGCAGGAACTGTGCTCTGGTCACCTCTGTGTCCCCAGTACCTCATCCAGTAGTTACTAAACGGATGAAAACAATGAAACCAGATCACAATGGCCAGAGGATCAAGACAGATAAAGGGAATAGGACACAAAGAATCGAGTTGAAAACAGGATAGAAGGAGATTAGAGCCACCGGACTGTCACCACCTAAAGTCACAGAAAACCTAGCAAGCCCAAGTCCTGCCCCTGCTACCTGCTTTTTCTTATGTATTTATTAAAGAAAATCATTTATAGTTTATTTTTTTTAATTGCCCTGATATACACAAAAATTTCCTCATAACTAATTAAAAACTACTCCTATCCCCCTTGGGTCCACACTAACGTTTAATCTAAACTGGTTTAATCTTGAAGTTAATCCAATAAGACTGAAGATCAAACCCTTCAGGCCCTGGAAAAGATAATAAAATACTCGGAAGCCTTCTGGATCCTTGGACTGATTAGCATCAAAAAGGGAACTGATTTATGATGTGAAAGAAACATGTTCACCATGGGACTAGCAGTTGGCATAATGGCTATGTCGCTGGACTCCTGTGTAGTCAACTGCAGTTCAAGTCACATACCTGGTGGCTTAAAATTCACGCTGGGCATGTGTGCGTGCGTGCCCAAGATCCCAAGAGTGGAATGGAGGAGAAGGGATTGCGGTGTGGCCATCCCCCCTGGGGAGTGATTTCTCGCTTTCTGTCTCTCTGACTTTCTGGCGAGCGCACGTGCCCTATAGCAAAAACCTCTCCAAAAAAAGAAACGTGTTCATCTCCGATGACAACTGGAGCTCCTGCCAGCCCACTCAGTCAGGAGGGGCCGCGAGGCATCATCTTTGGCAATTTCACGGTCACCAATTACTCTCTCTAGTTTTCCCATCACACTTTTAACACATAAGCCACTTTTCTGATCATGACATCATTTTTTTTTTTTTTTGGAGAGATTTTTGCTACAGGGTGTGTGCCCTCACCAGAAAGACAGAGACAGAGACAGAAAGCGAGAAATCACTCCTCAGGGGGGATCGCCATGCCGCAATCCCTTCTCCTCCATTCTCCTCTCAGGATCTTAGGCACTCAGACACATGCACCCGGCGTGAGTTTAAGCCACTGGGTCTGGGACTCGAACTGCAGTTGACTACATGGGAGTCCAGTGACATAGCCATTGCGCCAACTGCTGGTCCCTCATGACATCATTTTTGTAATTGTTTGCATATCTCAATTTCCCATCGGGTCTGAACTCAAACTCCAGGAACTCGTAGCCGAACTGGCCCTTGTACCCACACAGTAAGGTAGATAAAAGTCACTCTCCATGGCTCACAAATGGAACTAGAACTTTAGGAGAAAACGGCCGACCCTGCCACTTTATTGCAGATTTCCTCAAGAGGCCCATCACACTGGCAGCCCCAACACCCTGGGCCCATCAGGATCCAGCTCTGAGCTGTCGCCCGCGGTGCCACAGCGCAGGCCTGAGCTGCTTGTCTGTTGCAAGTTAGCGTCTGGAAGGGCAGAGGTGCTCCCAGGTAGGGCTGGTCTCAGGTGTCAGCCCTGCCAGCAGCAGCAGGAACTGGACCAGTCTCCACACAGCAATGCCATGGCCAGGTCACCATGCGGACGTGAGTAAGCCGCACAGGCAAAGGATGGTGAGAGAAGGAATTCCAGGGCCCAGGATGGCTGGCCTATGAGACCAGATCACGGCCATGCAGGCTCTAGAGCTGGTTACTACAGAGAGGATGTGGACTCGCCTGGGGCCTGGGGCACTGCAGGCTCAGCTCCTGCAAGCAGAGAGCTGAGGGAGGACAAGGAATGGCAGGGTGGCAGTGCTGCTGGTAAGCAGGCACCGGCCCTCACCTGGTGCTAGTTACCCCAAAGAGGCACCGCAGCTGGATCTCTAAGTTCATGGCTTTCCTCATCTAGAGATGGAAGATAAGATTGTATACAAGGGGAGACCAGCAGTTGGCATAATGGCTATGTCGCAGAACTCCCATGTAGCCGGCTGTGGTTCAAGTCCCGAACCCGGCAGCTTAAACTCACGCCGGGCGCGTGTGTGGGCATACCCAAGATCCCAAGAGGAGAGTGGAGGAGAAGGGACTGCAGAGTGGTCGTCCCCCCGGGGGTTGATTTCTCGTTCTCTGTCTCTCTGTTGAGTGCACGTGCCCTATAGTAAAAAAGAAAAAAACTCTCCAAAAAATAAAAAGATTGTATACAGGGGCTGGCGGCATGGTGGTCAGGAGTGCTGGACTCACACATGGCTGACTGTGGTTCAAACCCCGGACCTGGCGGCTTGCTTTCTCACGTTCTAACTCTCTCTCTCTCTCTCTTAATCTGGTCAAATTAAAATAAATAAATACATAAATAAAGTTAAATAAAATAATTTTAAAAAAAAAGATTGTATCCAATCTCACAGTTCCCCTGATTTGCTAGAAGTGGGGGTAGGCATGGAAATGGCGTAAATTATTTAGCAATCTGGTCACACCTGTAACTAGGTAGGGGGGTTCTCCCCAGGAGAAAAACTGG